TACTCTTTATAGTTGTCAATTATTTCTTGAGAGTTTTGTAGTCGTGATGAATTTTGTTGTGATATAGTTGCCAATTAAATCCATCATTGAAAATAATAGAATCATTTCAGTGGTTATAACTTACTTTTAAAATGATCTTCAAGATCAGATCTTGTTTTCCAATCATTAAACCTTGTGATTCCATGCACCAGCAAAGGAAGTTCTGGGAAAACTCTCAAGAAATACTCTTCATTCTTACCTTCCTTGATATGTATGAGTGGATTCTCATGCCAATTCTGGTGAACGTTTTGCAAAAATTTTAAGCAACCCAACCATGTGGAGTCGTATTGACTTTTATTGAAATTACTAGACTTCGGGCTCAAGACGGTCCATCCAATTTTTTAGACCATTTAACTGCTCATGCACATCTGAATTGAGAGGATGACCTAAATACGGTATCTCTATCCCTGGTTGGTTTGATACATCACACAACATATCAAAGTTCTTTTCATCGGATTGTAGGTAAGGGTGTTCTAACTCCTCGATGGCCGATGGTCTAAGTTTAGGCTCATGCTGTAGCATCCATGAAAGTAGATCTTTAAGTTGAACATCGTCGATTTCTTTTAAGCCAACAGGGTTTCCATCAAACAAGTTTTTCAGTCTATACTCTCGAGGTCCAAAAGGATGTTCCCCTTTTGTTGCGACATAGTAAGCCCACCATTCCAGCATTCTAAAGTCAATGAAAATGAAGCAGCTTATAAGAAGTGTCGAAAATCAAACTCAATTTAGTTTGCAAAAGTTGCCCTTTTGCACCTACCATTACATCTGACTGTTTTTTGAAACGAGCTTTGTCTACCGACTGACCCTTCACATATGATTCAGGAGCAATCCAATACTCAGTGCCACATTTTGCAATGCTTGAATATGTCGTACGGCCATCCTTCAATATTCGACTAATACCAAAGTCGGCTATTAAAAATTTACCTTGTGCGTCTCGTAGAACATTCGAAGATTTTAAATCTCGATGAAAAATAGGACGTGGCTCGCTGTGAAGATCAGCTAATCCTTTTAAAATTTGTCTGAGAATTTCGGGAAGAGATTTTTGAAGATATGTCAAAGAATTTGCTTCTGAGAGTACAAAATCCCGCAGTGATTCTTCCTTGGTTTTTCAACCTTAAACTTATAATAAATGTTGACTTATAGTAAAATTTATCTTTTAAGTTGAATTCATCTGATTCACTTACCTTTTTCCTATCAAGGTCTTGTAATTTAAGTTATATTGAATCCTTTAAGTAATGACGCCCTTCCTTTTCGTATATTTGCATTAAACGCTGCATGGCATTTTTTTGTTTCTCCATATCCTCGCCATTGGTAACAATCTCCAAATAAGTTTCATAAATATAAGTTGCTTCACTCCAATCTTCAAGTTTATCAAACAATTCAGCTAATTCCCAATAAAAAGCTAACACTTCACTTACAATTCCATCAAAAGTAACAATTGACAAGTTCTTTAAGTAATGGTCAACGAAATCTTCACTAACGTTAACACCACCAACTTTTTTTTGTTGTCGCAGTCGACGTTTATTTTGTTCTTGTTGTTGTTGTTGTACCTGTTGGTTTCCTAGTTGATTTTCTTTTTGCATTTCCTGTTGGTGTTGACATTCAAGAAGATTAAATCCTTTTTTGTAATGCTCCAGAGATTTTTCATAATTTCCAAGCAACTTATTCAATCCTCCCAATGCAATATGGCAGAGACAATCCATTTCATTTTTCTTTATGCCGTACTTCAGTCTGTTAGAGGTAGAATGAATACTCCCCAGGCCAAGATATACTTGATGCTGAAAATACTTACTTTCCACTTTAGAAGAAAGATTCAAACAATCATTAAAACAGTTTAATCCTTGCTGCCATTCATCAGAGAGAGAATAAGCGTTACCAAGACCAAAGAACGCCATTATTTTGACGCAAATTTCGTTTGTAACTTCCAAACATTCTTGGTAGTGTTTAATTACCCTTTCGTAATCGCCATTTTTCATATTACAATTTCCCTCTTCCAAGGACTGCATAGCTGCTGGTTGTGACGGCCGTATCCCCATCTCTTCTCGTGATACGGCAAATATTTGTTTGAGCTCTTGATTATTATTTCCAAATTTCCTTCAGTGGAACTTTCCAATCCCAACTTTGGATTAATCACAAGAAAGGTAGTGGTTCTTTTAGAAGCGTTGAAAGAGTATCTGTGAATTAACTTCGACTGTTATTTGTTACAAGCGAACAGGGAAATTTTTTGTTTCATCTATTTCTACGTAGATTCTAGGCGCTCATTTGCTATCGTCTTTAACGCAATACAAAATTTTTAATGTCTTATTGACTGTTTTCTTGTGTAATCGATTTAAAACAACAAAGAAAATTAATTGATGGAGATTCTTGAGCTAAAAAATACCATTGATATAAACAAATTTGTTCTTAATTATGTAAATGTTTACTGCGACAATATATGTTATCTGTTTCAAAGACATGGATAAATGAATATGTGACTTAACAATGACCAAGACCTAACTCTTGCTCCTATTTTGAAATTTTGTCCTATTCTTATCCTACTAAAGCAGCTATACTTTGCACTATCTGTGGGTTTTTTTATGAGTAGAAAACATGTGCAGGCATAACTGAAAAGCAAGTATGAATGCTTTATTTTTTGACATTATTCTTTGCTGTAAATAAGCATGCATTTAAATTATACACAGCTAAAAGTCGCTAGCTAAATGGTTATTCGCAAACAAATTTATAGATTTTTTTGTGACGTCATTTGTATAAATGAATTATTTTTGCTCCATTTTCACGATGTCGTAGACTGCACATCGTGTTTGCCAAAGCGATAGTTAGTTTCGACATCAGTGACTGCATGATTTGCCTGCTTTCATCGTTTAAATTTCATAATTAATTTATGTTTTTATTTAACTATTCATACATTTATTATATGTATTTTCTTATACTACCCAGCTATTTATCAACAATTTTCAATACTTTTGTCCTTATTTTCTCACCGCTCAACCAATACCAGCAATTTTAGCTGAGTTTTATCACACGGTTAATGCCTTAATGGCCAGTGGCTCAAAAACTGTCAGTTAACCAACCAATTCTTATAAATATTCACACATAACAAAATTTTGAAGAAATAATGTAAAAGAAGTTCAGATACAAATGATAAATCAAGCAATCGATTTAAATAATGCCAAGGCCATTATTTTCTTTTTTATCGCTGTGGCAAAAAGTATAAAAAAATATAAGGTTAAAGACATAGAGTTAAATACAGAGGGATAAATAAGATAAACAGAAGTAACCCTGGCAAATGAATAGATTATACATCATGAAATATTTCACGTATATTCAACCTAACATTTAACGAGTACCATTCTTTAGTTTTGCCAGAACCAGGATATCGTAGTCCGGCAACTAATCTGAACGCGCTATATTTGATCAATCTAACGTTAACTAAAAAATTGAAGGTGGAACAAAGGTGAGACACGAAATACTGTTAAGCATGCATACGTATCAAATGAAAGTATTTCCCTGGGGCGGATTTTTATGCTTTTACAGTTTATAAATTAAGAGATATTGAAAAAAGTAGGGGGAAGGTGATTGCCACACTTCTCCGCGGCAATCATATTTTTATCTTAAATCTGTGACTAAGATGGCTTGTAGTGAAGTCGAAACATGTCTGTCATTAAAATTAAAAAATTGAGAAATATTGTTGTTTATTTAAATGCTTACAAAATATTACATAAAATGAACATCACGGTAATCAATGTATGCAAATATATGAGATTAAAGTGGTTTGAGATAGAGACGAAAACACTTGTATAAAAAGATATTAATTTAGTCAAAAACGTTTCAAATTTTTGGCTCTCCATTAGACGCAACATACAGTGGTACTAGCAGGATTTTATTTTTTTGTGTGTGAGGAGAAGTGTAACACCTCCAAAATGTCACATACAATGTATAACGCAATATTTTATTCAACTGAAACTTTCAAGTTACGTTTACAGAAACCTCAGTATGTGAAATATATTATTGGCAGTCGTCCCTCTTGCTGGAGCCTATGACAATATATTAGAATCAAAAATCACATAAAAAAGAAAATGCTCTCATCTTGGAAAGCATTTATAGAGTACTTAAAACATGTATATTGAATATTATCAAACGAAAAAAACTTTTTAGTGAAAATAACAACTAAATTGGGACATTGCATAGTGTCATGGAATCCTAATTTAGCTACTTCGTTCAACATAAAAAATTGTTGTTATGACTGAGCTGTAAAATGTTTATGAAGATCGGCTCTTGTTTTCCAGTCAGTCGACCTTAGGATTTTGTGCACCAGAAGAGGCAGTTCAGGAAAACGTTGCAAGAAATAATTTACATAGTTGCCTTCCTTGACATAACGCATCAGATGTGTACGAGGTTTATCGTTCCAATGCTCATTCACGTTTCTTATGAATCTTAAACACCTTGCCCATGTAGGCTCGTAAGTCAGAGTTATCTCTTTGCCATTCTTTTTAAAGGCTTTGAAATCTTTCAAGACTTCATCATCGATACGCGTCATCCATTCAATGGGAGCATACAATTGCGCAACAACATCTGAATTTGGAGAACTCTGACTTTGTGATTGTTTCATTTCCGGTTGGTTCCCCATATCACACAGCATGTTAAATTTCTCTTCGTCTGGTTGTAGATAAGGGTGTTTTAACGCCTCATTGGCAGATGGCCTGTCTTCTGGTAAATGTTGTAGCATCCACGAAAGAAGATCTTTAAGTACAACATCAAGGATTTCCATCAATCCAACAGGGTTTCCATCTAGCAAGTTTTTCAGTCTATCTTCTCGAGGTCCAAAAGGATGTTTCCCTTTCGTTGCAACATAATAAGCCACCATTCCTGCATTCTAAAATATACAAAAACATAACAGTGTCAACAATAGAGTTCTAAAAAATTTGGAAGTAATTTGCAAATGGTTGTATTTTTACACTCACCATTACATCAGATTCTTGTTTGTATCGTGCTTTATCAAATGACTCTTCATCAACAACGTACGATTCAGGAGCAATCCAATACTGAGTTCCCTTAGTAGCATCGCTTACATGTGTCTTAAGGCCGTTTTTCAATATTTGACTAATACCAAAGTCAGCTATCAGATATTGTCCTTGTGCATCTCGAAGAACATTAGATGGTTTTAAATCACGATGAAGAATAGGATTTGGTTCGCCATGAAGATCAGCTAATCCTTTTAAAATTTGCTTGAGAATTTCGGGAAGAGAATTTTGAAGATTCTCCAAAGTAGAAGATTTTACAAAACTCTCCAGCGATTCTTCACATAGGTCAAGTATCAAATAGACATATTCAGTTCCGGTATCTTCTTCTAAGTAGTAACAATTTACAACATAACTCAACTTCTTAGCTTTGATTTCATTCAAAATTTTCATTTCGTTCTCTGCTTCTTTGTTACAGTTATCTCGACGTACTCGTTTTACTGCTTTTCCATAACCATCCTTTTTCAGTCCAAGATAAACACGGGTTTCATTATTTCCTTTGCCAATGCAAAACTCGTCCGAGAAAATTACACGTACGTCGTTCACACATGTAACCTTGGTATCTGGGTCGCGTCCATACTTAATTAATTTTAAGAACATCTCTTTGTGTTTTATTGATTGATCAAAATACTTCCATTCTTTCAAGTGCAATTCTAAAAATTATGTAAAAGTATTACATTTAGGGATAAGGGATGAAAATAATCAAACATGTGGAAGTGAGCTGAAAGTAATTCATCGCACACAAGATTCGAATACGTACGAATAACATAATAGTATAGGCTCGGTTTTTTGGTATATTATTCAATACATTAAATGGTAATGTATTCATTTTTTTCAAAAAGCCTAATCTTAATTTCGGGAAGTGAAATGTTACTCGAGAGACAAAACGGAAGATCCTTCGAAGTTGATCGGATATTACTTTCATTCAATGGTATTGTCCACATTCAATCATAATGCCAATCCTTGTGATATTATATAGTACATTGGTAAATTATTTGAGATGAAAATAAGAAGCAACTTTATTGTAAGTAAACGCAGGGATATTTGTCATTAAAAGTCCTGTAAACCGAGGGAGATTTAGCAAAAGAGACTTTTACTAAATCTTTTCATCGTCTGAGAAATCTAAGATTTTCTTAGACGGTTCGACAAGTGTACATGCGTTTGCATTTCTCCATCCCAAATTGGTTGAAAATTTTCTTAAAGTAATCGCAGATCAACATTCCCAGTAGAAAATGAACATTGCCATCGTCAATCTTCTTGAACTATATATATAACACCAGAATATGTGAACTTTAAGTGAAATTTATTGCGTTTCTGTCTGTTTATATAGCAGCCAAGACATCGTTATCACTGATCGATTCAATGCCGTGATTGTCTTAGTCCAACGCTCTGCAATACCATTATGCTCTGGAGAACAAGAGCTCGTAGGTTATTGCACAAAACGTTTGCAGCACAAAACTAAAGAAACGTCTCTACCTAATATTCACCACAAATATCACTTCTTAAAGCATTCATTTTATGATCTTTTGTTTGACTTAAAGTATAGCACACGAATTCCTTGAACTTCGTCAATTGATGCCAAAGTGTATTACCGAATTAAAAGTGTGTTAAATAATTAACTGCGCATGCTTATACATAAAGCGCCTACAGTTTTCGTGACATCCTGCGCCATTAAAAATATCTTCCATGGCGAGTAATTCATAATTTCAGACACAAAGTTATCCCTCCTCATTCTTTCCTGGACAAACCCAAATCTTCCTGGCCTTCTTTCATACACTTAAAACTATTTATTCGATAGTAGTTGTGTGAGCCACTGGAAAAATAAATGTTTCGAAAGAGTCAAAATTCTCTTTTATAAGTTATTAATAAAAGCTGGAAATCAAAATATTAACTTCAAAATAGGGATTAAACAATATACAACCTCAAAAGCACGTCACTAAGGCTGCCAATTTGTTTTGAATTTTAAAATGCCAGAAAAAGTAGTCATTGACGTCATCGTTCTCAAAAGACTCCATTTTTGACTGTCCACATTAAAACAAACACGCATTTTTCAAATCCACTCCATTTTTGAGAGCGTTTTCAAATCTATACGTTTTCATTTGGCAGCGTGTCCTTTTTTGAGCGTTTCAGTGTGGACGGATGGCCAAAAAGCATCAAAAAATATAAATTTTTAACAGAAAACGCATAAGTGAGGACAGGGTTTAACACAGCGGGGATGCGTTTGGAGAATATGTGTATGAAATGTGTAAGTGATTCAAGTCTTTGATTTGCTTTTTACTCACACTTTATTGGCGTTAATATTCACATGACGTCATAACCAAAGTGCGTTAGTTATTCTGATTAGTTTGATATTATGTTACTAAATGTATAGATCTACATAACTTGTATTATGTTAGATCACTTGTGATCTTGGTTATGAAAAAAATTGCACCATTTTTGAAATGGATGTTAAAGTTTGTAAGGGGGGCCAAATTTCCCAAGTGGAACCATATTTACTAGGAAGTATTGCTCCTGTGGAGACAAATTTTTTAGGAAATGTTCATTATTTATTGCCATGTACATTGCTGATAATGGAACATTCAAAACATATATTTATAAAAATATATTTGCAAAAAATATATTTAGACTGAGCTGAAGTCGTTGTTAAGAGGTGTTTTTTAAAACTCCATAGTAGAATTGAACACTTAGCCCCGCACTTCATAATGTTGCTTCGCCGTCACTGCAAACACTCACTCATTGTTTATCTCCATATCAATATTAGTATATTTTAAAAATATATTTGCGTTTTAACCATTTCATACCGTCAAAGGGGATGCTGGAGATAAAATTTTTAAAATGGTTAGCTTGTTCATGACAATCTTTGATGCACTAATAAACAAACATATCGCGACAAATCAAACGCAGAAAATTTACACTTCGACTGTATAACCGGAATAACTGACTGACTAGGTTGCATTTTTTACACTTAGAGATTTTAGAGATTAAGTAGCTACATCATTGACGAAAAAGAAATATTTTAATGGTTAACTTACTAGCAAATTGTTCTTCCAGATCTGGAGTGGATTTCCTTTCGATATACCTTATGATTCTGTGCACCAGAAGAGGAAGCTCCGGAAAAACTTGCAGGAAATACTTTTTATAGTTGCCCTCACTTGGCGGCAGTTGTGGATGAGGTTGATCTTGCCACTGCTTGCGAACGTTTTGTAAAAATTTTAAGCAGCCAAACCATGTAGGGTCAAAGTCATTGAAATTGTTAAAAATTTCTCCGTCGATACGGTCCATCCAATTTTCTGGATCATTTAACTGCTTATGGACATCTGAGTTGAGAGGATCACATATCTCTATCTCCAGTTGATTCACCATATCACACAGCATATCAAAGTTCTCTTCAGCAGATTGCAGATATGGATGTTTTAACGCTTTTTTGGCAGATGGCCTGTCTACGGGTTTATGTTGCAGCATCCATGAAAGAAGATCTCTAAGTTGTAAATCACCAATTTCTTCCAATCCTACAGGGTTTCCATCTAACAAGTTTTTCAGTCTATTCTTTTCAGTTCCAAAAGCATGCTCCCCTTTCGTGGCAACATAATAAGCCACCATTCCTGCATTCTAAAATCAATGAAAAGGTGAAAGTGTGAACGAAATGCCAAAAAATTGAATTTCATTATTCAAAGTTACATTTCTACACCTACCATCACATCAGACTCTTTTTTGTAACGTGCTTTATCAACCGACTCATCATTTTCACGATATGATTCAGGAGCCATCCAATATTCAGTTTCCCTGTAAGTGTTGCTTTTATATGTCTTAGAGCCATCCTTCAATACTCCACTGATACCAAAGTATGCTATCTGAAATTTTCCTCGTGCGTTTCGTAGAACATTGGAAGGTTTCAAATCACGATGAAGAATTGGACGCGGACCTCTATGAAGATCAGCTAATCCTTTTAAAATTTGCTTGAGAATTTCGGGAAGAGATTTTTGAAGATCCACCAAAGAAGAAGATTTTACAAAACTCTCCAGCGATTCTTCACATAGATCAAGTATCAAATAGACATGTTCTGTTCCAAGGATTTCTTCGTAGTAGGAATAATTCACAACATATTGCGAGTACTTTGCGTTTCCCTCATTCAAAATTTTCTTTTCATTCTCTGCTATTTTCATGCAGCTATCTCGACGTACTCGTTTTACTGCTTTTCCATAACCATCCTTTTTCAGTCCAAGATAAACACGGGTTCCATTATTTCCTTTGCCGATACAAAACTCGTCCGAGAAAATTACACGTACGTCGTTCAAACGTTCAACCATGATATCTGGGTCGCGTCCATACTTAATTAATTTTAAGAGCATCTCTTTGTGCTTTATCGATTGATCAAAACACTTCCATTCTTTCAACTGCAATTCTAAAAATTATGTAAAAGTATTAAATTTAGGGATAAGGGATGAAAATAATCAAACATGTGGAAGTGAACTGAAAGTAATTCATCGCACACAAGATTCGAATACGTCCGAATAACATAATAGTATAGGCTCGGCTTTTTGGTATATTATTCAATACATTAAATGGTAATGTATTTATTTTTTTTCAAAAATGCTAATCTTAATTTCGGGCAGTGAAATTTTACTCAAGAGACAGATCGGAAATTCCTTCGAGTTTGATTGGATATTACTTTCATTCCATGGTATTGTCCACATTCAATCATAATGCCAATCCCTGTAATATTATATAGTACATTGGTTAATTATTTGAGATGAAAATAAGAAGTAACTTATTCTAACGCAGGGATATTTGTCATTAAAAGTCCTGTAAACCGAGGGAGATTTAGCAAAAGAGACTTTTACTAAATCTTTTCATCGTCTGAGAAATCTAAGATTTTCTTAGACGGTTCGACAAGTGTACATGCGTTTGCATTTCTCCATCCCAAATTGGTTGAAAATCTTCTTAAAGTAATCGCAGATCAACCTTCTAGGCAGAAAATGAACATTGCCATCGTCGATCTTCTTGAACTATATATACAACACCAGAATATGTGAGCTTAAAGTGAAATTTATTGCGTTTCTGTCTGTTTATATAGCCAACAAAACAGCGTCATCACTGATCGATTCAATGCTGTGATTGTCCTAGTCAAACGCTCTGCAATACCATTATGCTCTGGAGAATAAGAGCTCGTAAGTTATTGCAAAAAGCCTTTGCAAACTAAAGAAACGTCTCTACCCAATATTCACCACAAATATCACTTCCTAAAGCATTCATTTTATGATCTTCTGTTTCACTTAAAGTAAAGCACACGAAATCCTTAAACTTGGTCAACTGATGCTAAAGTGTCTTTGGAGATAGCAGTTGAGGTAGAATCATTCATACAAATAGTCGATAATCAAATATACAAGTCTGCATCGGTCAACAGATATGGTCGCCTCGGTTTCTTTTCTTTAAAATATTTACAACGTGTTACCGCAAATATAGGAATGAGGATATTTAGTCATCGGCATCCATCCTCAATTTTCTTTGACGTTACTAAACCCTCTTTTGATTAGCAGAACATTTAATTTCTTTTATCCCTGAAAGCGTGCGTTTTACTTATAATACATTTGAGTCCTCTTCGAAAATTTTTTCTCCCCAGCTAAGCTTTGGCACATCTCCAATGGTGCAATTTTTCCAAAACTAAAATCACAGGCAATTTAAAGATGTTTACAAAATTATGTGGATGTAGACATTTAATAACAAAAAATCAGAAAAATTATCCACTTCAACCAATGCCGGTTTATCATGCGTTGGCAAACATGTTAATATTCAAGTCGAGTAAAGGTGAGTAAAACTAAAGTATGATAGAAATCATTAATCAAAAGCCAAGACTAAAGGCCAATAAGCCCCCTTAACACAATACAAACGCACAAAAAGTAGTAATTTACGTTATTTGCTCGGAAATAGTTAAGTGTTTACTAAAATCAAGTTTCTACGAGTTTAAAAGTTGCTTTAGGAAACTTGCAATATTGAATTTTGTGTTATCTGCATGTCACTAATTTTTCGAAATTAAAAGTTATTACCAAATTAAAAGTGTGTTAAATAATAAACTGCGCATGCTTATACATGCGCATAGCAGTTTTCGTGACATCTTGCACCATTAAATATATCTTCCAGGCGAGTAATTCATAATTTCAGATACAAAGTTATTCAACCACGCGCTTGTTTTCCTGGACAAATCCAAATTCCTCCTGGCTTATCTTTCATTGGCTTATTTATTCGATAGTGGTTGTGAGTCACTGGAAAACCAATGTTCGAAGAGTCAAAATTCTCCTGTTATAAGTTATCAATAAAAGCTAGGAAATAAAAATATTACTTCCAAAATAGGATTAAACAAATATATAACCTCAAAAGCACGTCATCGAATCTTCAAATTTGTATTGAATTTTAAAAATGCCAGAAAAAGTAGTCATTGACATCATCGTTCTCAAAAGGCTCCGTTTTTTGACTGTCCACATTAAAACAAAACGCATTATAGCTAGTTGAATTTCGAGTAAAATTACTACGAATAAAAAGTGCTCAATATTGAAATAAAGTATATATTTACAAGTAAACTAGTCACAATTGTTACACTAGTTACTGAGAGTTTCATGCCAATGCAATCAAAAAGCAAATGATACAGATATTGCGCGAGGTTAATAACTGATCGTTGATATTCATAAACTATTGTTACTGGAGACAATTTTTAAGAATCTCGCTTTCAAAATCTTTCGAGAGATCAATTGTTGGAGCCCAGTTTTTGAGAGTTAGTTCAAATTTAGAGTCATTCACAACTTCTTCTTTGTTAAAGTAGAAATATGTTTTCTATCTCGTTGTCTTAATCAAGCTTTCCTTTTTTTTTATCGGCCATCCTAAACATATTGTTTACGACAGGGTAAACCGATGTTCTTCAATGAATAGTTGAATTGGATTTTATGCTTTTATACATCAAACTTGAACTTTAAATATCAGAGTGCAAAACTGTTGAACAGCTGAAGAATGCACGCAACAGCAATTTGTATCATTGTCTCAGCAGAAACAAAAGTGCTCAATGAAAATTTTGAAAATGACGTCGTAAATCCTTTCCAGAGCTGACTGGAAAACTCAATTGGAAAAATATTTACATCGAAAACCTTATCAACCTTATGAATGAAGAATATCTATGAAAAATTAAAACTCATCACAGCAAAAAGTGACGATGAATCAAAGGAGTGGATTTGAATTAAAGGAAATTAGCTTAAGATCGATCCTTTGATAATAACACAGCATGAATTTGTTCGTGATTCATTTACCTATTCAAGATAATAAAGTCTTAACAAGAGTTTTCACTTGACCGACTTTTTTGATGAGAAATAATAAAATAGTTAACTTTTCTAAAATAGTTTAATATATTTCTAGAACATAAAATATAATTATCAGACTTAAAAAAGAAAAATTAGCAGAGAAAAAGTATATTTGTACGATTCCCGACGAAAAACTGACGTTCAAATCACCTGGCCAACAGGTGGAAACAACAAACTGCTGTGCTGAAAAGTTGTAAGGGAAAAATGCAACATTCATTCATCGATCTCGTTCATACTGAAGAATTATTTCTTTGATTAAAACGCACTCGCAAACTGTTCTTGAAGATTTTGATTTTGATTGATTTTCTTGATTTTCAAACAGGTCTTGATTTCCATTCTCTTAACCTTATGATTCTGTGCACCAAAACACATAATATGGAATATACAGACGGGTCACTCGTGTCGGAGTCTTTGATATTTTTGTCCTCGTGCATGTTGTGCCGCGCATTTTGGCAGCCGTTATTCCAGCAAGATATTTAGGGCTTTCCTCTTGTTCCCAACCACTTAAAGACACGACATCATTTCTTATATTGAAATATTTTCGATTTCATTGTGAAGAAATGACGTCATGTAATTGCAGTGGTTGGAAACATGTGAGAAGCCTTAAGTATCTTGCTGGAATGATGGCGGACGTAAGGAAGCATTGCACATTTGAGTGGCCCTTATGTATAATTTTTACTCTGTGACCAAAAAGGGGAAGCTCTGAGAAAACTCTCAAGAAATACTCTTTATAGTTGTCAATTATTTCTTGAGAGTTTTGTAGTCATGATAAATTTTGTTGTCATATAGTTGTCAATTAAATCCATCATTGAAAATAATAGAATTATTTCAGTGGTTATAACTTACTTGTAAAATGATCTTCAAGATCAGGTCTTGTTTTCCGATCATTATGCCTTGTGATTCTATGCACCAGCAGAGGAAGCTCTGGGAAAACTCGTAAGAAATACTCTTTATAGTTGCCTTCCTTGATTGGTTTATCATGCCAATTCTGGTGAACGTTTTGCAAAAACTTTAAGCAACCCAACCATGAGGAGTCGTATTGACTTTTATTGAAATTACTAAAGACTTCAGGTTCAATACGGTCCATCCAATTATTCAGATCATTTAACTGCTCATGCACATCTGAGTTAAGAGGATGACCCAAATATGGTATCTCTATCCCTGGTTGGTTTGCCACATCACACAACATATCAAAGTTCTTCTCATAGGATTGTAGATAAGGGTGTTTTAACGCCTCGTTGGCAGATGGTCTTAGTTCAGGTACACGTTGTAGCATCCATGAAAGAAGGTCATTAAGTTGAACATTGTCGATTTTCTTTAAGCCAACAGGGTTTCCATCTAACAAGTTTTTCAGTCTATACTCTGGAGGTCCAAAAGGATGTTTCCCTTTGGTTGCAACATAACAAGCCACCATTCCTGCATTCTAAAATATACAAAAACATAACAGTGTCAACAAATGATTTCTAAAAAATTTGGAAGTAATTTGCAAATGGTTATATTTTTACACCCACCATTACATCAGACTCAGGTTTATATCGTGCTTTATCAACTGTTTCTTCATCAACAACGTACGATTCAGGAGCCATCCAATACTGAGTTCCCTTAGTAGCATCGCTTACATGTGTCTTAAGGCCGTTTATCAATATTCGACTAATACCAAAGTCAGCTATCAGATATTGTCCTTGTGAATCTCGAAAAACATTAGATGGTTTTAAATCACAATGAAGAATAGGATTTGGTTCGCTATGTAGATCAGCTAATCCTTTTAAAATTTGCTTGAGAATTTCGGGAAGAAATTTTTGAAGATCCTCCAAAGTAGAAGATTTTACAAAACTCTCCAGCGATTCTTCACATAGGTCAAGTATCAAATAGATATATTCAGTTCCGGTATCTTCTTCTAAGTGGTAACAATTCACAACATATTTCGAATTCTTAGTTTTGATTTCATTTAAAATTTTCATTTCGTTCTCTGCTTCTTTGTTACAGTTATCTCGACGTACTCGTTTTACTGCTTTTCCATAACCATCCTTGTTCAGTCCAAGATAAACACGGGTTTCATTATTTCCTTTGCCAATGCAAAACTCGTCCGAGAAAATTACACGTACGTCGTTCACACATTTAACCTTGATATCTGGGTCGCGTCCATACTTAATTAATTTTAAGAACATCTCTTTGTGCTTTATTGATTGATCAAAATACTCCCATTCTTTCAACTGCAATTCTAAAAATTATGTAAAAGTATTAAATTTAGGGATAAGGGATAAAAATAATCAAACATATGGAATTGAGCTGAAAGTAATTCATCGCACACAAGATTCGAATACGTGCAAATAACATAATAGTATAGGCTCGGCTTTTTGGTATATTATTCAATACATTAAATGGTAATGTATTCATTTTTTTTCAAAAAGGCTAATCTTAACTTCGGGCAGTGAAATGTTACTCAAGAGACAAAACGGAAGATCCTTCGAGGTTAATCGGATATTACTTTCATTCAATGGTATTGTCCACATTCAATCATAATGCCAATCCCTGTGATATTATATAGTACATTGGTAAATTATTTGAGATGAAAATAAGAAGCAACTTTATTGCAAGTAAACGCAGGGATATTTGTGATTAAATATCCTATAAACAGAGGGAGATTTAGCAAAAGAGACTTTTACTAAATCTTTTCATCGTCTGAGAAATCTAAAATTTCCTTAGACGGTTCGACAAGTGTACATGCGTTTGTATTTCTCTATCCCAAATTGGTTGAAAATCTTTTTAAAGTAATCGCAGATCAACATTCCCAGTAGAAAATGAACATTGCCATCGTCAATCTTCTTGAACTATATATATATAACACCAGAGTGCAAACTTTAAGTGAAATTTATTGCGTTTCTGTCTGTTTATATAGCAGCCAAGACATCGTCATCACTGATCGATTCAATGCTGTGATTGTCCTAGTCAAATGCTCTGTAATACCATCATGCTCTGGAGAATAAGATCTCGTTGGTTATTGCACAAAACCTTGCAAACTAAAGAAACGTCTCTACCCAATATTCACCCTAAATATAACTTTTTAAAGTATTCATTTTATGATCTTATGTTTGACTTAAAGTATAGCACACGAATTCCTTAAACGTGGTCAACTGATGCTAAAGTGTATTTGGAGATAGCAGTTGAGGTAGAATCATTCATACCAACAGTCGGTAATCGAATATACAGGTCTGCATCGGTCAACAGATATGGTCGCCTCGGTTTCTTTTGTTACAACACAAATATTTACTAACGTGTTACCGCAAACATAGGAATGAGGATATTTAGTCGTAAACGTCCATCCTCAATATTCTTTGACGTTACTAAACCTCGCTTTGGTCAGCAGAACATTTAATTTCTTACATCCCTGAAAGCGTGCGTTTACTTATAATACAATACCACAAAGTATCACTTGCTCTGTAAAAACTTGCTTTGTGCAAATTTCGTGATGAAAGTCCCTTTCACTTCATTTGGCTTTCGGACTTCTTTGACTGCACCATATTTCATCTCATTGAGCTTATCTTCCTCTTTGATCATCTTTCACTAATTTGTTGATAAAGTGACCCGTTTGATGTCTTTTGTCTGAATTGCCAAAATTCATTATTTTCAATGGTGTATAACATGACCACGGCTAGTTTGCGAATCACATAATATTTCTTACGCTTGTATGGTTTTCAACATCATAAATAGTCTAAATTTTGCACATTTAGTTATTCCAGAAGAGCAAAAAGTAAAAATTATGTCTAGATAGTACAGGCCTCTTGTAAGCCCGATCTCACGGGAAATTTCACCCCTCCCAAAAAAATTTAGCCCCTCTTCGAAAATCCCCCCCCCCCTTTAAAAACTTTAACTTCATCACGAAAATGGTGCAATTTTTTCCAAAACTAAAATTACAGGCCATTTAAGATGTTATAAATTATGTGGATCGATACATTTAATAAGAAACAAATCAGAAAAATTATCGCAATTCAGCAATGCCGGTTATCATGCGTAGGCGAAAATGTCAATATTCAAGCGTCGAGTAAAAAGTGAGTACAACTAAAGTAATGAGTCATGAAAATCATTCCACAAATGAAAAAGCATAAAGGCTTAAATGACTCAATCACTTCTTAACACAATCTGCAAACGCACAAAAAGTAGTAATTTACGTTATTTAAAGCTCGGAAAATAGTTAAGTGTTTACTAAAATCAAATTTCTAAGAGTTTAAAAGTTATTTATGAAACTTTTTGCAACATTGACAGATTTTTTGTGTTATCTGCATCTGTCCACACTAATGCGTTTTCGAAATTAAAAGTTATTACTGAATTTAAAGTGTGTTAAATAATTAACTGCGCATGCTTATACATAAAGCGCCCAGAGTTTTCGTGACATCTTGCGCCATTAAATATATCTTCCAAGGCGAGTAATTCATAATTTCATATACAAAGTTATCCCACCACTCGCTTGTTCTTCCTGGACAAACGCAAAATCTTCGTGGCCTTCCTTCATAAGGCTTATTCATTCGATAGTGGTTGTTTGAGCCACTGGAAAAAACCAATGTTTCAAGAGTCAACATTCTCCTTTTATAAGTTATCAATAAAAGCTAAGAAAGCAAAATATGAACTTCCAAAATAGGGATTAAACAAATATACAACCTCAAAAGCACGTCACTAAGGCTCGCCAAATATGTATCGAATTTTAAAAATGCCGGAAAAAGTAGTTATTGACGTCATCGTTCTCAAAAAGCTCCTTTTTTTGACTGTCCAAAATAAAACGTGTCCTTTTTTGAGCTTTTCAGGGTGGACGGATGGCCAAAAAGCATCAAAAAATATAAATTTTTAACAGAAAAAGCATAAGTGAGGACAGGGTTTAACACAGCGGGGATGCGTTTGCAGAATATGTGTATGAAATGTGTAAGTGATTCAAGTTTTTGATTTGCTTTTTACTCACACTTTATTGGACGCGTGAATATTCACATGACGTCATAACCAAAGTGCGTTAGTTATTCTGATTAGTTTGATATTATATGACTAAATGTATAGATCTACATAACTTGTATTATGTTAGATCACCTGTGATCTTGGTTATGAAAAAAATTGCACCATTTTTGAAATGGATGTTAAAGTTTGTAAGGGGGGCCAAATTTCCGAATTAAAACCATATTTACTAGGATGTATTGCTCCTGTGGAGACAAATTTCTTAGGAAATGTTCATTATTCATTGCCATGTACATTGCTGATATTGGAACATTCAAAACATATATTTATAAAAATATATTTGCAAAAAATATATTTAGACTGAGCAGAAGTCGTTGTTAAGAGGTGTTTTTTAAAACTCCATAGTAGAATTGAAGACTTAGCCAAGCACTTCATAATGTTGCTTCGCCGTCCCTGCAAACTCTCACTCCTTGTTTATCTCCATATCAATATTAGTATATGTTAAAAATATATTTGCGTTTTAACCATTTCATACCGTCAAATTGGATGCTGGAGATAAAATTTTTAAAATGGTTAGCTTGTTCATGACAATCTTTGATGCACTAATGAACAAACATATCGCGACAAATCAAACGCAGAAAATTTACACTTCGACTGTATAACCGGAATAAATGACTGACTAAGTTGCATTTTTTACACTTAGAGATTTTAGAGATTGATTAGCTACATCATTGACGAAAAATAAATATTTTAATGGTTAACTTACTAGCAAAGTGTTCTTTCAGATCTGGAGTGGATCTGCAGTCAGTCAACCTTATGACTTTGTGCACCAGAAGAGGAAGCTCCGGGAAAACTTGCAGGAAATACTTTTTATAATTGCCTTGCTTCACATATTGGGATAGATGCGGACGAGGATTATTTTGCCAATGTTGGTCAACGTTTCGTATGAATCTTAAGCATCCTGCCCATGTAGACTCGTACTTTAGAGTTCTTATACTGTCGTTTACTTCAAAGTTGATCAAATCTTTGACGACTTCATCATCGATACGCTTCATCCATTCTTTGGAACCATACAACTGCTTATGAACGTCTGAAGTGGGAGAATTTTGACCTTGTGAATGTTTCACCTCCAGTAGGCTCCCCATATCACACAGCATGTTAAATTTCTCTTTGTCTGATTGCAGATAAGGGTGCTTTAACGCCTTATCGGCAGATGGCCTGTCTTCAGGTAGTAACTGTAGCATCCACGATAAAAGGTCTTTGAACGTGGCATCCTCGATTTCGTCCAAGCCAACTGGGTTTCCTTTCAAAATGTTGTCCAGTCTATGCCGTTCATCTCCAAAAGGATGTTTTCCCTTTGTTGCAACATAATAAGCCACCATTCCTGCATTCTATTTTCAATAAAAAATTGTCATAAACAGTCAGTGGTGGATACTAAAACCTTAAAGACTAAAATTATTTGCGATTTGCAGAACTCAGCAATAAATGTGCAGCTTAAAAAAATCTAAAAAATGTTCTCCAAATTGAATTGTAGTCATATATATGTATTAAAAACAATCTAAATAAGGAACATACAATTACAACTGTAACGCGATTAACAAAAATAAATTTGTTTTTATTTAAATTTATAGGTTTACACTATAAGATGAAACGATAGAGGTAAAGAAAAAAATTGAGGTAAAATCATTATCACTACCAAATACCATTATTTAATTAAATGCAAATAAAACATTGAGCTGCAGTTGGACCTCTAGTTCTACTTAAAGAACTTACCATAATGTCAGACTCTTTTTTGTAACGAACTTTATTAATTGATCCATCTGTTTTGTCATATGACTCTGGAGCTATCCAATTTTTAGCTCCTCTCTGTATGCTCAGATGTGTCGAAGTTTCATCAGATAACATATGACTTATACCAAAGTCAGCGATTAAAAAATTTCCATCCACATCTCGAAGAACGTTCGATGGTCTTAAATCCCGATGAAGAATAGGACATGGACCACTGTGAAGATCAGCTAAACCTTTTAAAATCTGCATAAGAATTGTAGGAACGACTTTTAGTAGATTTTGCAAAGAAGAAGATTTCACATAACTCTCTAACGATTCTTCACACAAATCTAATATCACGTACAAATACTCTTCGTCAAGGTTCTCTTTTAAATCCCAAAAATTCACAACATAATTTGAACGCTTTGCATTCAACTTATTAAAAATTTCTTTTTCTCGATTTGCAAAGTCTTTGCCGCTATCTTTGTGTATTCGCTTTACTGCTTTTCCATAACCATCGTTTCCCAGGGCAAGGTAAACACGGGTTCCATCACTTCCCTTGCCAAGCAAAAACTCCTTCATGAAAATTACACGCAATTCACTGAGCAGTGTAAATTTTTCTGGATGTTTGCGTCCATATTCCTCCATCTTTTTAAACTTTTCCTGATGTATTAATGATTTATCACAATATTTCCATGGTTGACGCAACACTTCTTGAACTTAAAGGAGAAGTACAAATCAGGAAAGATTAAAAAAGGACTGATAAATTCAGTTTTATATATTTTGGCAATATCACATAACATAAAACATTGCTGTGTTTTTTTCTGGATGAGAAAACACGGATGTTTTTATTTTGATATGGAAATAACATTTACTCCGGTAGAAATGAGTTGGTCATCATACAATTCACGCGCAATAATCGACGTTCCACGATTAGCTCATTGCATGACTATACCAACCTTTAACTCAATAAAGCCAGTGGCGGATCTAGAGTACGTCAAAATAAATTGCTGCAGCTCATGCTTGGATATATTTCAAATACATAGAGGAAAGTCCATTGATAAAGTATAATTTGTTGAAATTCAAATCCAATAGTTTTGGTTTGAACATATTTTGAATTTAAAATTGAGCATCTGAATTCATTTTGACAAACGCTAGATCTGCTATACTAGATTGAGCAATTCTGCAATGGATAAAACACACACCCTATTCACATTAACATAAAATATGAAATTTAGTATCTGAATGTTAAAAAGTTAAGACCGACAATTCTCTTAAAGTAAATTGAATTTACTCAATGATCTATACAAGTGTTCACAAAGCAATGATCCCTTCAATAACTGACTTTATTTTAACTGGGAACAATAAGAAATAGTTAAAATGGTTGCTTACGACATGCTGAATTTTACGTTCAGACACGGACATTTTTATGCATGCAAAGAAAAGAATTTTTCATTCTTAATTAAAAGTCATTAAAAAATTCTGAGAATTGAAAAAATTTACACAGCATTTTCCAACTCGAGCAATTGAGAGCAGTAAAAAAATTAATCATAATCCTTTACGAAACTAAAAATAATTCGTTATACCAACCTTCCAAACGTTGTTTTCCCTCTTCTGCATTATAAAATAAATAATAAAATAATATTAAAATATTATATAGTTATAGTGACAAGCAACTAGAGCATTTTTTGTTTTATTTATAACACAACAAAACAATTTAATGGGCTCTTTATCATGAACTATGAACAATGTTAATGTATGGGCTTATTTTAAGATTTGGTCGCAACATAATACCACACCGACTATAAATATAAGAAAATATAAAAATTACAGAACCACGAATTACAATTTTCCATTATAAAAAGTATTTTTGATTGGTTTTTTCTTCAACAATTGCATGTTTGTTTCTGTATTGATTACGAGGAAAATATCCATTGGTCAAGATATTGGTCGTCACATGAATAATGTGTAATACATATAAACAAATAAAAGTATTTTTATATATAGCTATCATTATATTTTTAAGGTTATTGTAGACAAGCATATGGTTTGTACAATCAATTTTGAAAAAAAAATTTATTATCGTCGTGTGCAAGCGCAAGAACAAAAAATTATTTTAGTTGCAACACAGTGAAAGTTGAGAACGCTTTGATTTATTAAGAATGTTGCAGGTTTATAAACACGGATATATAAAAAATCATTCACAAAGGTATCCTTCTTCCACACTCTTTTCTGCATTAAGACAACCATCATTAATCCCTAGCACAAAGTTTATATTTATGTTTTGCATTCGATTCACAGTTGAGTATCTCACCGTCGCAAAATGGTGACAGTATAGGAATGAGTAAACATTTTAAAATTTATTATTTTGCACCATTATAACGGAAGTAGTTAAAAATAGTAATCTGTTAAAACGCTGACATTTTGAAAACAACGCTTGTCATTTTTTAAACGACTCAATCCAATATCTAAGTCACAAAGAGCATTTTCATAAAGAACATTTTTTGGCATGCATTTTAATTTTTTGATGACCACATTGGCTTTGCATACTTTTAACGAACTTATGCAAATATTCTAGTGTAACGATCTTATGTAAATACGCAGTACAGTTCCCTTTAAATGCTGAAATATTGAGATTGAAAAATGAAAGATGAAAGCATCTGTCGAGGTGAAAAGAGTTCGGAGAATTAAAGAACCTAATGTTTTTAAGGTTACCTTTTGAATAGCTTGTGTTCATCCAAAAGTGTTCATCCAAATTATCATCTGCATCTAAACACATGATAAAGAAAATAAACGTGTATATCACATGTTACACTACCCAGCTTTTGTAAAATATGAATAAAAAGTCGGTCCAGAAACGGACAAAAGACGAAAAATGTCGCTCTGACTAAAATTTTGGGATATTTGATCCAATAAAGATACAATAAAGTTGGTCCCATGACGTAGAACACTCCTTCTCAAACCTTTCAGCGAGGCATAATTTATTTAGAATCTGCATTTACGTAACCATTTATTGTATGTTATTCGGTCTTGCAAATATTACATGCATGGTTATGCTAATACCGTGTGTTTGCAAAGAGAGAGTTGAACAGTGAGTTGAACTACCTTACTTTGTGGTTTGTAATCTTTTGGGTGGAAAAATAACAACGTGGGTTTTATTGCAAGTTTTTCCGTAAAACTAATAATTCACTTTTACATAACACATCATAAATATCTCTTAAACCAGTTATTTGTCACAAAAAAAGTTAAAGGAAACGAATAACTTAGATCTAACATCAGGGCATCTAGCTACCACCTAAACGCTAAATGAAAGTATGTATTCGTAAACATAATTATTGGCTTTTATTTGTTATCAATAATGAAATAATATGTTTTAAAATGATGTTTTCAACAATATTTTATTTAAAATCATTTGTGTACGTGTAACGTATACATGTAACTGACACGTTGATCATGATGGTTTTCACATTTCACTTTTAGCATTATAGCCAGTTTTCACTTTCTATACATATTGATCAAATTTCTATGTTTACAAAGTTTAAAATTTTCACATGATTTTGATCCACAACATTTGCATTATTTTTGAATAAAAAGATTTTAGTTGGCTACATATAACGAAACCTTTTAAAATTAATTTATCAGGTTATAAATTATTGTTTGTATTTAGCGTTGAAAAACATGGAAATGTTTGGGCAGCAAATGCTTGGTGAAAAAAATTCTTTTGCTTACCAGGTTTTGATGTGGAAGGCGAAACACCAGTAATGACTTCACTGTTGTTATCATCTAATAGATAAATCAAATTGATTGTTTGCAATGCAATTAAATAGCATTACAGGATGATGACAAATTCTAAAACTCTCTTATCTTACCCTTTACCAACGTATGAATGATACGCATGATATAAACGACTCTTAATTGTTTGTGTTTGACTTTTAAAGGGAATGTAAAGATGTTCGTGCAAACGTTTGCTAACAAAATACAATTTCTTACCAAGTACTGCTGTAGAAGGAGTTTTGTCAATGTCGTCATAGTCGTTGTCACTCTTGGGAGATGGCAAAGACATCTTTTCGTAAGAAGCTGGAAATTAATGTATTACATTACACTGAAAATGCACATTGAAATCATGCTAAACATTGAACACGGCGAATAAGTTTTACGTGAATTTCAAAGGAGATTTATAGTATTTGTTAGTTAGCAAATTTATAGTATTTGTTAGTTAGCAAATTTGTCTCTTAATTAAGCTGAATTCATGTGCATTTTCTACCTTGTTTTTTTTTTCTCACGAAATTCTTGTAATCTTGTTGTCATTGAATCCTTTAAGAAATCACGTCCTTCTTCTTCGTATATTTGTATCAGATATTCCATAGCGTTCTCTTGTTTTTCTATATCTTCATCTTCAGTGACAATCTCCAGATACAGTTCATAAATATCTGCTGCTTCCCTATACTGCTCAAGTTTATCAAACAATTCTGCTAATTCCCATAAAACAGCCAACAATCCACTGAAAATTCCAGCTGAAGTAACAATTGACAAGTTCTTCAAGTTATTCAAAAAATCTTTACCAACGTTAATACCACCAACTTTTCTTGGTCGTCGCGGTCGTTCACGCCGTTTATTTTGCTCTTGTAGATTTCCTTGTTGATTTTCTTTCTGTTGTCGAGGTTGCATTTCTTCTTCTTCTTCTTGGTGTTCACAATCAATAAAAGAGAATCCGTTTTTATAATGCTCCAAAGATTTCTCATAATTTTCAAGCAACTTATTCAATCCTCCCAATGCAACATGACAGAGACAGACCATTTCATATTTCTTAATACCATCCTCCAATCTTTTAGTGGTACAATGGATACTCCCCAATCCGAGGTATATTTGATGTTGAAAATATTTAATTTCCAGTTCAGGAGAAAGATTCAAGCAATCATTAAAGCAGTTTATTGCTTCCTCCCCTTTATCAGAGAGTGTGTAAGCATTACCAAGACCAAATAATGCCATCATTTTGATGCTGTTCTCGCCTGCAACTTTTACACAATTATTGTAATGTTTAATAGCCGTTTCATAATCGCCATTATTCATAGAACAATTCCCTTCTTCCAAGATCCCCATAACTGCTGGAACCGTGAAAGCTAGATCTCTTCTAGTAGTCACGCAAAAATTTATCTAAGTTCTCCAGTGTTCTTCATGTGAACAGCAAACTTTTCTCTATTGTACTTATTTTTTTGCGCCAAACATCAAAGTTAACTGTTTAACTATAAAAGACAAAATTATGAGCTTTATTTAGTCCACTCTTTAGTTTCAAAATTACAATAGAGGAAATTCATTTATGGAAGTTTAGAGCAAGCAAATGAGAGATCTTACTAACATGTACGTGGAGTGTGTGTAGAATGTTTTTAACAATAGGTTAAAGACAGGGCAATTTTGCAAATTGAAGGTAAATCAGTTCTCGACAATGAATGTTTTAACATCCCCCCCCCCCGATAAGTTTCGTAAGTTCATTAATTAATTCAAGTGCCCATTTCAGCAACATTGAATTTAGGAGTGATTTCCAACGTATTAGTAAAAAATTTTTTAAGTTTCTCAAATCGCTCCATTTTTAAGGCTGTTTAAAGTAGGCAAAATGCTCCTTTTTATGGAGCTTGTCAGTCGCAGGAAAAGTCTGGAACGACTTACTTTTGTAACGTCATGCAAAGTATTTATCAAGATATATATGTCAACCACGTGTTTGTCGGTAATTGCACGTTGCAAACCCCCACTCCCACAGTCACGAAAGTCACGCATCAAGACAATACTTAATTCTTCTAATTCTGTAAACTTCTTATAGCTATAATACATTATTTAGCATATGAAGAAAACGCAAGATGCGACAACTTGAAATTGAATAAAATAATCCATTAAAAACTTTCCGTCTGATTTCTTTTCAGTATCTTTTTTCCTAGTATTTTTATACACAGGTGTTGAAACACGCGAAGAAGAAACAATACAACAAAGTCTGGAAAATTTACAATCAATGTGACGATCTTTGAGTTAACGGTATCACAAATATTGATTTCTTTACCATTTCTGTTCTCAATAAAGTAAATGGTTTGAACCCGGGAGTATCGTTACATGTTTGTAAATGTAGATCGTCCAGGTTGGTATAGTCCTGAGAAGGACTGTTTTTGTTGTTTTTGAGTCAACAACAACAAAAACAGTCCTTTTCAGGATATACTGGACGATCTACATTTACAAACATTTCTATTCTCGTCAGATCAGAACCATCAAACTATGTCGAATACCTGTCTTGCATATAGTTGCACATAGTCGTAGATTAATATATATAAAATGGGACATTTGCTCTAACTCGTGTCTAATACATATTTTAGCAAAATTGCGCATGCATAAACAAAGATGCGTCAATACCGAAACGTGCTTTGAAAAATCCTCAGCGTTTTATTGATGAATTTGTAGTAAATAATCATTTTTCTAGGAAAGAAAACCAAACAACAAAATAATTTTTTTAATATAGAAGTAAATGAAGTTGACCAGGATCAAAAAATTTTAAAATGTCTCGTAGTACAATGCCCTCGGTGCAGTCCAATCTTAATTCGTATGTAGCTTCCAAATAAGGAGGTACCCACACG